CGCCCATTTCGGCACACTCCACGCACGGTGTGGGGAGCTCCACCGAAGGCCCCAGTGGCAGGGTCTGCATGCGCCCCCCCCGCCCACTCTGGCCATCCCGCCTTCATCCTTCTCTCTCTCTCTCTCTGTTTCCGTCGCGCGTTTGCCCGCCAGGCCTGAAAGGGGAGGAGCCCTCTGCGCCGCCGTTTTGTCTCCATTTTCTTCCCGTCGTCATCCCTCTCTCTCTTTCTCTCTCTCTCTCTCTCCTCTCCTCTCTTCCTATGTTCGTTTCCGTCGCGCGCTTGTCCGCCTGGCCTGAAATGGGGCGAGCCCCCTGCGCCGCCACTTGGTCTCCATTTTCTTCCCGCCTTCATTGTTGTCTTTCTTTGTTTTCCGCTCTCTCTCTCTCTTGAGTTTTGCGCGCGGCCCGCCTGGCCTGACGCGAGGCGAGCCCTCTGCGCCGCCACGTCCTGCCCGCCGGACCGCCCCACCGTCATCGAACACTGCAGTTTTCCAAAGGGGCCACGAACGCCGATGTCTTTCCAGAGCGCACGGGGCCTGAACCACCGCGGGCTAGGTGGTCAGGACGGCAGCGCGCTGCGGAAACTGGGAGAGAGGATAATGAGACGGGAAGAACATGGAAACCAAGCGGCTGCGCACGGGCTTCCGGCCAAGGCAGGAAACCGACAATGCCCACGCAACGGACACAGGGAGAGAGAGGAGAACGAGTGGTAAAGGCAATGTATACAAAACGGCCGCGCACGGGGCTCAGGCTAAAACAGGAAAACAAAAATGCATCGCGCAACGGGAACAGGGAGAGAGGAAAACAACATGGGAATAACATGGAGACAAAACGGCCGCGCAAGGGGCTCAGGCCAAAACAAGAAAACAAGCGTGAAACACGCAACGGAAACACAGAGAGAGGAGAATACGCTGGGAAGAGAATGAAGACAACACGTCCGCGCACGGGGCTTGGGCCACCGCGGGTTCCCCTCCTCCGTCTCATCTCCTTCGCGGTACTCGCGGCTGCATCTGGTTGGGTTCTCCGTAAGGGTAAGTTCTGTTGTAAAACATGCTTGAATCTATTTTGACTAATTTTCATTTGTCATCTAAAATCCCCCTGTAGGAGGACATGCCCGACCTAACTTTTGCACTCAGCAGCCATTGCGCACAGTAGAGTGGACATGATGTGGCGGAGCTCGCGAGAATGTAGGCACCACGTATCGGGCGAGTGTCAGCATATATGCGTGCTTGTTTGTTTGTTTGTTTGTTTGCTTGCTTGTTTGTATGTATGTATGTATGTATGTATGTATGTATGTGTGTATGTATGTATGTATGTATGTATGTATGTATGTATGTATGTATGTATGTATGTATGTATATTTGTTTGTGTGTATGTATACGTGTGTGTATGTATGCATGCATGCATGCATGCATGCATGTATGTATGTATGTATGTATGTATGTATGTATGTATGTATGTATGTATGTATGTATGTATGTATGTATGTATGTATGTATGTATGTATGTATGTATCGATGTATGTATGTATGTATGCATGCATGCATGCATGCATGCATGCATGCATGCATGTATGTGTACACATATATGCATGTATGCATGTATACATGTATGCATGTATGCACGTATGCATGCATGCATGCATGTATGTATGTATACATGTTTGTAGATCCATGTGTATAAATACGTCTATAAATATATATATATATATATATATATATATATGTATACACACGTGTGTGTGTGTGTGCGATTGTACGTGCGGCCCCCATCTTCGGGGGGTGCACCCTGACGAGGGTTCTGAGGTGGATCCAGCCTCGACCACGAGGGACCCAGACATCCGACGCTGCGAAACAAGATGCAACCTCGCGAGAAATCGCGACCCGAGCCCCAGACCTCATTTGTCTGCACCGTGCCTCGAGCCGGCTCTGTCTGTGAGGGCCCTCCTGGGCCCGAAACGGGGGCGAGCGCGCCCAGATCAGAGGGGAGGGGCAGGAGGAGGAGGAGGAGGAGGAGGAGGAGGAGGAGGAGGAGGAGGAGGAGGAGAAAAAGGAGGAGGAGGAGGGAGGAGGAGGAGGAGGAGGAGGAGGAGGAGGAGGAGGAGGAGGAGGAGGAGGAGGAGGAGGAGGAGGGGAGAGGGAGGAGGAGGAGGGGAGGAGGAGGAGGAGGAGAGGAGGAGGAGGAGGAGGAGGAGGAGGGAGGAGGAGGGAGGAGGAGGAGGGAGGAGGAGCGAGGAGGAGGAGGAGGAGGAGGAGGAGGAGCAGCAGCGGCCTCGACGTCGCCTCCCCCCTCTGGAGGCCGCCGATCAGCCTCGGGGCGGCGACGCCGCTGTCCCCGGAGCGGCGGGTGCTCCCGGCACCGGGCGACGCCGGCCGCGCGGCTGCCCCGGCGAGCAGGTGCGAGGCGAGGGCGGAGCCCGGAGGGCAGGATCGGCGAGGGACGTTCCTCCTCGCGTCGTGAAAAAATCACGACGGGAGGTTTTTCGCCGTTTTCGGCCTCCGGGGGCCCTCGCCGGGCCTCGGGACCGTCAAA